GAAGAGGCGCAAAGACATATCACAGTAAGAGAGAGAGAGAGATCAAACAACAGTAGCAAGAGCATAAATCACATTGGTACTTCTTGAATAGAAAAAAAAATACACCGTTCGGCTCAAATATGCAGAGAGAAAAAAAGCAGGAAAAAAAAACGGCACAAAAAATGGAGCTCGAAGTAATACATAATTATGGCAAAAACTCTGAAGCAATGCTTTATATGCCAAATGTCTTTTTTTGCTTCTACTTGTAATGAAATAAGCAATCAAATGTTTCTTCTGACTTACAGCATTTTATAGTGCTAAGATCAAAAAGCTGAATCATCTAACCAAGATTTTCCTGAACAAGAGGTGGTTGGACGGGTGAGAATTTTAGAAGCACTGACGATAGGACGGTACAAACGGGATGCATCTGGAAAATAACAAAACTTGGCTGCTTTGTTAAGCTGTAGTCCTAAATGTGTAGTACTTGAACTAAGCAACTGGCAATTTTGTCAGCTGTTTTGACCAATGTTGCACCGGACAATGGTCAGCAACTGATGACCCTGACGTCTTTTTTCGTCTCATGAAGCGAAAAATCATTACTTCCTATCTCTTTTATACTTCGAACTTAATCAAAGGTTCCTTGGATCATTGGGTAAGCATACCCAGCGACCCAATTGTTGTTCGTGCTGACTGGAAAGCAAACGGCCAGCCACAGAATTTCGTGTAATGGTACAATGCCGCAGGCTTAACATTGGCATGTTTGTGGTCTACCTTCGAGTCTTGCAAGGAAGCGCAACAAGAATCAGGATCGCCAGGAAGTTGGCCGTTAGATGATGCAGCATGGGTTAAAAAAAACTGAAAAACCTGCCAGCTGAGTGGACGAAGAATTCAAATTATGAAATGACAGATTTTCTAAGATTCCAGGACTCAAATAGCTAGGAAGATTTTTTTGAAACAGCAAAACAGTGGTAATGCGGGAAAGATGAAAAAGGCGTCTCAAGTAATTTTCGGATCAATACACAGGCAAAAACATTTGTAGTTATCTCTTATACCAGAAGAGCTTTTCTTTTTGGATAAAATCCTGGCAACAAAATCACATATACAGACAGCAGTAACTAATACTTGATGAAAAATCCACCAAACAGTAAATGATGAAAAATTCACCAATCATAGCATTTTACCAGTTTTCACTAAATTTTCTTCTTTTGCCATAAGTCAAAAATTTACTTTTGCTAATAAATTTAACTTTTTTTTTCATTTTCTGCTAAAACTTACTTAATTACTCAAAATTATTCATTTAAAATTTAATAAATAATGATAAAAAAAATAAACGCTTCAATTTTCAGCTATAATCCCTTAACCTAACATAGTAATGAATAGTGGCACAGGATGCAAGCATGTATGCAATGATTATTGCTGTAGAATGAAGAGCATTTGTCACATTTGTTGTTGTAATACTTAAATTAACCAGACCCGTCAATACATTTGTTAGCAGAAAGAACAGCATCCCGTATCGATTCACCGAATCCAATATGCATGGTTTCAGTCGTTCAAACGGACTTTCATCTGCAGAACCAAATAAATTTGAATTTTAATTGTATGCTCAATTATTCCTCGCATCACATGATATGGATTTTCTCATCAAGTACGGGTCATTCTTCAGACCGACAGTTTCACGATAGCTTTTTCTGCATCCTTTCTTAAATTACGCTTCGTTTCTTTCAGTTCTGGCACTACTAACTACACAAAAAGTCCCATTTTTTCATATTTTTAGTTATTTAGTCTCATACAAATTAAATAATCTTTTATTTAACATATTATAATTATGTGATTTGATCAAAAAGGCAAGCACCCGCCACATGATCTGCGTATATAAGGCAGAATCGACCAGTGAGACAGCAGTGTTGTATTGATGGGATTAGTGTTGCACCAAGTAGAGCCGACACTTGCTGTGTTTGGTGTTTTGGTGTATTGACTGAAGTGTGGGGCCACTAAGGATTGTACGGAAGACCCGTATTACTGTGTGTTTAGTATTTTTTTTCTTTTTTTTTTTGGGGGGGGGGGGGGGGGGGGGGGGGGGGGGGGGGG